TCTTGGCGAGGGGGAAGCCGAACAACCCTTTCCGTGGAGTGTTTGGTCTTGCAGATGGTAAACCAACGCTTCTGCCCTTTTTTTGAACCCGCCAACGTGCTCTGTCCTTCTTGCTATATCGTCGTGTTGTTTGTTCTCTGTCCGCGGCTCGATTACCGAAAAGGGCATGCAAGTCTCGTTTCGGGCAGATCGGTTCGTCAGGGCGGCGTGCTACGTGCGAAGGGGGGAACTGGTGAGCGGCATACAAAAGTGACGTACGTACCATTTGTTCGGCTCGACGAAACACACACACACATATGTTATCGCCGCCGTGGCTCCGGCATTGCCGCCTCCTACTCCCCCTATGTTCGCTTTGGGCGCGTTGGTCCAACCTTCCGTAATTTTTCGTGTGTGTTTTTTTGGTGTATTAGGACCGAGGGAAGTTGGCCACGCCGGAAGAGGTAGCCGAGGCCGGGTCGCCGGACTGTTCCATCTGCTACGACCGGATGAGCCGGCCGCTGCTGCTTCCGTGCAACCACCTCTTCTGCGGGGAGTGCGTGGCCGAGTGGTGAGTTGAGGGGCCTGCGAGCAGCTGCCCTGCTGCAACACCCGTACCGTACATGTAGATGCCTACAGTAGGGGGCACAACCCGATCATGTTTGCAGCTTTGACGAGAGTTGTATTGTACACGGGGACTGGTTGCGGTGGTGTGTGTGTGTGTGTGTGGATCTTTATTATTAGCATCGACAGCGCTAACCGGCTGACCAATGAAAATACGTCAGTCTTAGTGCGGTTGAAAACACAAAACACTTGTATCTGCCATGAACTGGGAACCCTTGAGGGGGCAGCATGGGGGAGGCTAAACTACCCTTCGGATCGGTGTGTGTGTATGTGTTGGTCGTCGGCAGCAAGATGAGAGATGCTGCCGCTACACGTGCACCTCGTTCTCCGTGAGTAGCGTGTCTTAGGGACTCTCGAGTGTCTCTCTGTGTATGGACGTGATGGAAATATCTACTCAGCAATCCGCCCCAACCAATGGGACGAAAAACCATGTTTGGACGGTGGGGCGAGGCACCGCTTGCGGAGGCACCACCCAACCCCTCTCCGAATGAGTTCATGTGCTCCGGCGATTTAACTCAAGCTCTCCTTCCTTTCTGTTCGACGCAAGTCCTTCCGTCGTCTTCGCCCCAGCAAGTTACAGCAGTACCTCCCACCATTCATCTGCACGTCGATGTTTTCCTGTCGGTGTATTTAATGGTTCCACAGTTGGCAAGCTCAAAGCGTGATTGGTGGTGCTAGTTTGCTGCGGACGGTTTTCATAATTTTTGTTTCCTCTCACGCCGGATCACGTTTATCATCGTAAATCCCGTTTCGTGGTATGTGTTTCTTCCCCTCTGGCCTGTTATGCCGTTCACTCTCCCACCCTCCCTCACTCTCCGCCCCGCCCTCTCTCTCTCTCTCCCTCCCTCCCTCCCCCCCTCTCTGTATGTCTCTTCCCACCCTCTCTCTGATTTGCCTCCTTTTGTCCTCTGCGCGCATGCCGTCGTCAGGCTGGAGCGAGAGCGCACGTGCCCCCTCTGCCGCGCCGAGGTGCCGAGTTCCAACCCGATTCCTAGATCCCTGCGAGATGGCAGAACAACCGTTGTACCGCAGATTCTATGACACTGCACTACGCTACACTATATAATGAGACTCGGGGGGGTATTGCCCTCGGGACGGGGGGGGGTGTCTCTGCTCGATGAATATGGTCCCAATTTTTTCTGGATTTTTTATTTGTTGTTTCGAAAGGGCAGCAGCCGAAAGTTACACAGGCAAAGCTGTGCTGCCTGTGGGACCACTCTCTTGCATTGGTAGAGTGGCAGGTGTTTTTTAAAGTTCAATGAACTCCAAGTTTCTGCTGGTCTGATTGTTTTGGCTCCTTTGTACGTCTTAAAAGGCACGGGTTGTCTGTTGTAGATGGACTCTTGAGATGGTCTGTTGGTTCGTTGTAAGTCGTGAATTTTTGTATTGCCTTCTCCGGGTCGTGGTGTGCCTGTTGCTCTGTAGCTTGGGATCAGTCCTGGGACTGCTGAATCTCTTCAGACCTGGTTTGTCAAGGCTGCTGGTGCCCTCGCCCAATCTGTACTAATTCCGTCACGTGTGCCAGCTGTGCATGATAGACCTGGTTTCCGCCTTTATCCTTGACCACCGTTCGAGGCTGGCGACCCCGCTGAACTTTGTTGCTGTTTTATTCATTCTGCGCTGCCGACCTGGCCTGGTTGTTCTATGACCTACGGGTGGTACACGGACGGGGAGAGTGTCCCGGAACATTGCATTTGTGTCCCCACGCAAGTATGGAAGGCGCAGCACCGAGTCCTCACACGTACGGCAACAACCACCACAGGGCTTCCTTCCTTTCCCCTCCTTGTGGGCCATCCCTCGTGAAGTTGAGATTGTGTTCTTAGTTCTTTTGCGTGTTTGTTCTTTCTTGCTGTCATCGTTGTCGGGTGAACGACGCATGCACTGACCACCGCCCTAAACACCGGTACGCCTTGTTCCGTGGCGATATGAGCAACATCCTAACAGTTTACTCCAACATTTTTACCTTGTTTTTGGTGCGGATCTGTACACGGTCAACATTTTGTGCTGCACGTTGTTCGTGTTACTCGATACGCTTGCCCAAGACACAGCTGGGAGATGTCGGGGTCCTCGGGAAGTTAAGTTGTCCTACAGCGTCTTCTACTCTCAAGAGTACTACTCTGACTGTTGTAGTTCAAATCAAATAAACTCAGGGGGTCTGCCCCCCTGATCATGAAGATCAGCTAAAATTTTTGTGCAACTCTTCCTTATTTTCTTTTTCTTACAAGTCGATGAAAATCCTTTGGTCTTACTCCCCCCACGAAACATAATGAATCGGAGCACACACGCGGACATCTTCGTACCCAAATGTACACACCAATCGCTACATTACTAACACCATAAACGCAAGGGTTGTTCAAACCTGAGACCACCCCTAACGAAATGTCCACCCGTGAAGTGTCAGTCACACTGCTCTCGCACACACCATACGTGCCCCTGGCCGTGATGCTGAGGGTTGATACTAAACCTATAGACTACATTCAAACGAACCATCGACACAATTGGACCAACCAACGTATTTGTGGCTGACGAGTGCCTCAACCCCGCCGTAGAGTTGTGCAATATCTTGGCTGACCTAGGGGCAAAAAGTCGGGTGCTCGTAGTCTGATCAGCGTACTCAAAACAGTGCATATCCCTATCATATCATGCCCTCCACAAGGGTAAAAAAGAGAGCGGGTAGCCGTCGAATCAAAACTCTTTTCGGCTCTCTCGCGCAAGCGCAGCATACCGCCCAGCGCTGCACTCTGTTGCGAACTCCAACATACTATCTAAATCTGCCCGAAACATTCGGGCATTGACCATTCATTGATCGCATGAATCAGCTACAGCTCCCCCAAGTGGACTCGGTAAAATCCCGACCTTCGTCTAACCCCCCCAAAAAAAACTCCAAAGGAGAGGGAGGAGCGTGCACAACGCACCTCCTGCGTGTGAATGTCTATTTAGTGCTACTGTTACCGGGTAAATAAAACACTTCCAGTCCAGGTCCACTTCTCTCCGACCACAAGTACTCGTTTTCCTATGAACGTCCGTCCCAACCGAAATAAAACGGGCTTTTTTCTTTTTTCCTGCCCACCAAAGCTGTTTTCGTTTTTGGAGGACCGTGCGAATAAAATCCACTCACTCACTTCCAACACTCGTCTCAACGGTTTACCAAACGCGCGTTGATGCCGCGGCCGCCCGCCAATCCTACCAGTGTCCCCCGCACTTATCGCACAAACGCGGGCGTTGTACTCCCCTCCATGCGTAGTAGTCTCCTAGGGCAAACCAGGCACGATTGGACGCGGAAACGCACAGACATAAAACACACGACCAAGCCTTCCACACACATCCCTCCCCCTTTTTCCCAATCCCCCGGTGCTCAAAGCACTGCCGGTGTACGAAAACAGAAAACATGCCGACGTAGCACCACCACCTGAGGTTTTCTTCTGATGCCTGCGAATGACGCCCAAGAAAATAAAAGGATTCCAAGAGCACCCAATGGCTGGACCACTGGGGGCCCTATGAAGCCAACTCTCGGCTTGAAAAGCTACTACTGTGTTTCACTTTCAACCCATGGCACCTGATCTACAGCACCACAACTTTGCTGGCAGTATTCACACGGATTTAAATAATTGTCCGATACGTCGGGTTGAGATCCAAACGAACTACGAAAACATCACACGATCGATAATCGCGAGAAGAAACCTTCCCGCGGGAAAAACAAGACTTGTGTTGTTCTTTTGGACGTGCCCGTCCACCGAACCCCCACAACCAACCGCGAACCTATCCACCGGGCGCTGGTGCTTGGCTAATGAAAGATACTAGTAGTTGGTGTAGAGCACCCCCGGGATGAGGCACCTTGTGGAGGCCCACATATAGCGGTCTGACTGCCTGTACACCCGTACCCAACTTATACGCCTCCCTCATTCATGCCATATGCCACTGCCGTATTTGATCAGCTACAGCAGGAAACACCGTCGTTGCCAGCACCGCTGCTATGAAGTGTAGTGTCCAAGTACCTCCTCTCTCATGGTCTCCAGCAAGACCTAGTCCCGCCCCGTGTCTCGTTTGTTTGAGAGTTTGCACGTGCCCTCGTCGCTGATTGGCGCCATGTTCTCGCATTAACCGACGGGGACGGACGCAGTAAGCGCAGCCTAGTCGAACACCAGGGTCTTGTCGAGCGCCATGTCCACGTCCGCGATTCCTTCCGGCATCGTCTTGGTCTTGCCGGCGAACTTTGTCTTCTTCCACTCCCTCTCCGTATACACCTGTTCCGGATACACCAAACAATTCACAGAACGATGGCACATGGTTTCCTCACCGTTTCAGATAACAACACGGGTTCCTCAGCATAGCAGAGCAGCATGCTGCAAAACATAAGACCGAGCTTCAAAGTAGAGTAAGGGGGAGAGGAATCCTTTGTCTGCTTGGCGGGGAGTCGTGAAAGCGTAAAATACTTCTACAGATGGCCGCCAAAGTCACGATGGTTTCATGCTGCGGTCCAAAACAAGCATGCACGATGCAATGCTTGAACACGTAAGGTTCTAGTGAGTCCACCAAAAGAAAAAGAGAACGCCGAAGAAGTACCCCCGAGTGTAAACGATCCCACCCCTGCAATGACCTGCCTCCCCCAATGCGCGGCACCCCGAAGACTAGAAACTAGATGTTGCTGAATCTGTTATCCCGCCAAGGTGGGAATTATTTCATTGGGCAGCCGCGTATAGCACGGCCGATGCTAAGTTACGGAACACTTGTACGTACATCCGCACGCACTCATGCACACACACACCATGGCCTTTGGAAGCATGTTGTGTGGTCAACCACACTGAGATTGACGTCCTTTTCATCGGTCAGCCGGTTGGCGCGGTCGACGCCAACAACAAAAAACGACACCAACGCACACACACCTGGGCCTTGGTGTAGTCCAGGCTGCCGGAGTTCTCCCAGGCCACCCTCAGCTTGTCCTTCCCGCGGCTGTGCTGTGACCGCAGCACCACCACCGTCATGGTCCCGCACTTGGTCTGGCAGAACCTTTCGTACACCCACGACTGCCGCATCAGCGCGAGCACGTCCGGCATGCTGATGCGGACGCCGAAGGGCACGGCCGCCCCCTCCGTGAAGCCCCCCATGTCCCTCACGTTGCAGTTGGTGGCGCCGCTGATGAGCTTCGAGATGCCCTTGAGGTGGCCAGGCGAGACGGGCCCGTAGGAGGCGTCGTCGTTGGGGGACACGAAGGAGTTGAACTCTCCGTTGGGCCCGACCCCGTTCAGCACCACCTGCGGCGAGCGTGGTTCATCGTGTGTGTTGTGAGGGAAGGAGGAGAGAGTGGGGTGAGAGTCGTGCAGCAAGCACGCTTAGATGAAGACCAACTGCAGGGGAGGCGACAGGCGTTACATGGACCCTTGTCCTAAAACAGAGGGCCTCAGCCACGTTCGTTCAGCGAACACAACACTGCTTGCTGTTCGAGGGACTCTCAACGATAATGAAGTACCAGACGTCTCCAAACAGCTGCCGCAGGCACGTACGGGAGAAACAACGCAACGCACCGTGAAGTGCCCCGAGGATGATCGAGCTGTTGTTTCCGTGAGGTTGAGCTGCTCGAGGTGCGCCTTCTGCTCCGCTCGAACCTTGAGCTTCTTCTTGACCGCTCGGATGCTTCCTCGGACGATGACGTGTCCCACCAGGACAATCACCTGGCACAGATTTTTTTCCCCGTAAAGTAAACATAGAATAGGGGGTTTCATATTTACCGCGTCTGAAAGACCTTGCGTTCCTGGTTTTGATCGTATATGCTCTTAGGGTTTGTCACTAGGAAAATGGCATCAAAGCGCAGGCTAGTGCTTCGGCAGCGCGCGGCTCTCAAGGGAAATATGTATGTTAACACGCCCCCCCCAGCCAATCCCTACATATCGATGCCCTTCGCAATGTCTGTTTCTCCGCTTGAATCGTTTCTCGCACGAACCCCCCTGCACGACCACGACAACCAGCTGCGATGGATATGCATATGATACAGCGCTGGAGCCCCGAAGCAAACTGTCTCTTGGTTGCAACCCGTCCCGGCCACATCAATCACAAGGTCGAGATGCAGCATGCTTCTTGGGAGAACCAAGGGCTACTTGTAGGGAGAGTCCAACAGTGGCAAGGTGGCGGGCATCACGTGGGCCCGCCCAATCACAATTCAATCGGTCCAGAATTGAATGCAATGAAGGGGGGGGAGAATATTAAGTTACTACACAGACCGGCAGGACGCAGTTGCCTTGTTGTGTAAAACGGACGCTTCTTCCGCGGTGCAGGTTGGGAGGAATAAATAGATTGAGTTGGGCAGCAGAGCGTACTGCAGTAGTGTAGTGCAACCCCCACTACAGTATCGGCATGCCTCTCTCTCTCTCTCTCTCTCTCTCTCTCTCTCTCTCTCTCTCTCACCGCTACAGTGGGTGCGACCAATGTCGTGATTCCAGCCGCAACCATGACGGCTGACACGCCCGTCGAGGCAGCTTCCCCTCCCGCCCACTTCACAATCGCCTGGCTCCTGTCCACCGCCTTCTTCTTGCTGCCCTTCTTCGAGTTGTTCGACGGCAAATCTTCCTCCGAACCTGGAGAGGAAAAGACGACGACGACAAGCGCAGTGGTTGCTTCTCCCCTTGAGCACAATCAAAATCCCAATGCAAGCTAGAAGTGCAACGTAGGCGTCGCTAGTGTTCCAGGGGGGGTCAAGTCCAGGCCTTATCCTTTTGCATGCCTCCAACTCCTGACGGCATGCCTATGGTTCCAACTATTTGACCTTCCAACACGTACCTGCTTGTGGTAGGCATGCGAACATGATAAAATATCGAATAAGCACGTGCGTACACACCAAGACACGCTGCTATCACTCACGATGGTGCATACCCCCATAAAAGTACGCTAACTTGCGTACTATACAGCATAGAACGCACATTTGTCGCACCTCCATCCATGGACACCCCAACAACCTTCGGAAGTTCGCACCCAAGCCGCAAGCGGGTGGATGGAACATGTTGCTTGTGCCTTCACCCGGATAAAAGTACCCATCATCGTGTGGCACCACTACTAACCCTCCGACCGAATCGCTACGGAAACATGAAGATTCTCCGGTGGTGCATCCCGGGAACAGATACAGCAGTACTAGAAGTATACTTGTACACAAAAACGTGGTTGTTGGGTACACCAATTGTTGAGTGAAAAGCCTTCCTTTGTAGAGACGCCGCCTGAGGTTCAACGACTTTCCCTCTCAACAGTCCATGCAAAGCCTGCGAATACTTCATATATATGCATATTTTTCATATTTTCATATGCACGACTTCCACTTCCAACACACCCTCGAACGGGGTAATTTGTTCTTGAACGGGCGCTCCTTTGATGTTAACGCATAATGTAGTTTCAAATCTAGAAGTATTGTGCGAGATCCACTGCTGTGTACGACATCTACGACGACTCTGCCGTCTGTGGTACCTCACTTACAATACAATAGTGTGTGCACGGATTTACTCTGCAGAGTTTAACGACTCCCGGCCCTAACAGGAAGTTTAGTCTATGAAAATAAATACAACACACAGTAGTCGACGGACATAAGGCAACGTCTCGGCGGGGGATACATACCGAACGTTACGACACTGCATGGAACGTTACGACCAAAATGACCGGCGAGATGGATTCGTCGGGGTTCTTGTGGCCTTGTGCCATGCGTCGACCCCGCGTGTTACGTTACCGCTGCGGCGCAAAAGAAGGGGTTGTTTCGACCCGTTTACGTATGGATGGTGATGGTGGTCGCGTGGTCGCATTAGCAGGCCATTCATTCCGTGCGGAGAGTATCAGAGCAAGGTCCCATCTACTACATCTTTACTTGCTGGGGCTCGACGGACGCCTGCCGGCGAGCCGGGCGAATGGCGATGGTTGCAACATTGACATTGCCAAGAAGCCTGCGTCACGTACAGTGATGTATCATACGGGAGTCTACTCCCAAACAGAGGCATCGTGCGTGTATTCTGGCGAGAGTACACGCTACGCATGAGCGAATACATAGGCTGGATGTAGCGTGATGCGCCAGCAGCAGCAGCAGCAGCAGCAGCAGCAGCAGCAGCAGCAGCAGCAGCAGCAGCAGCAGCCGCAACACACACTTCGCATTTATTTACCACAGTGCTTCCCACGTTATTATTGTAGTTTCACGTGCGTGGTACGGTAAGAAGGCAGCTCCTGCCGTGTACCATGCACAGCGTTGGGGTCTGAGAACACGCACGCCGACCGTGCAGAGCCACACATGCATAACAAACAGGCGGAGCGAACAACTCTGCGAGAGCGCGAGAAAACGAGGAGCGTTGTCTGTGTGCAGGTTCTTCCAAAGGGGGTGCTCGGAAAAGTCTCTACTACTAGTAAAGGTCTGTCATCTGTACAATACTTTTAGTCTTCACGGGAAGGGGAACAAAAGCTTTTACTGCTGTAGACTATAATTACCTGTGATATCCGACGAGTCGTACGCATACTCCTCCGCTTCGCCAGATGTTGAAGCCATAACTATGATCCGGGTGAGTGCGTTGACCGAATAGTCGCTGCGCTGGTTTTCGCTTGGTTTGCACTGCAAAGTTCTCTGCGGGTGAGCGCTGTAGGCAGATGATGAGATGCGGGAGACACCGAGAGTGTGAGAGGTGATGAGAGATGAGACATGAGAGGAACTTGTTTGAGAATTTTTTTTTATTTTTCTTATTAAACACAACGAATCCATCTCTATCATAGAAAAGAGTCTGACAGATTAGCAATGAATTCATAGCGTCAGAAAGCACCTGTATGTCTACGATTTCCCAGACAGCATATAGGGACATCTCCCCTGCGGGTAACAGGCTCAACAAGACAGTTTGGTAGCTGTCTTGTGTGTCTCATATATGTTATGTTGGGAAGGTGAACTTGTTTGAGAATTTTTTATTGTAATTTTTGCTGCCGTCGGTGGTTCCGCCGTTACGAAAGTCGACAAAAAAGAACAATAAATAAAGCACAGCTCCGGATTTGGAGGTTGAAGAACATAATAGCTCTGCTTTTCCCACAGATGTTCCCCGCGGCAGTCGCCAGCGGTTGTGTGTGTGAGGCCACTCCAAAGTTTCGTTATGGTGTACATTCCGCAGCCACCCGTCAGTACCCGTTTTTTCACAGCAGTGGTGGCTTGCTAGTAATAACGTAATAACCCGATGACCTACTGCTGTCGGCAGTACTTAAATCACTCATTGTTCATGTTCTGGTGCTGTGCGATCTTTGCTGTGAACTCTGTAAATACTGGACATGTAAGTATGGACAGGGTGAAATGGTTTTTAGAGTAACGTCATCTCGGCGCCTCGAGGGTTCCATCCGTGATCTGCTTGGTTCTTATAATCTGCTCCATTGAACGCTCTCCTCCTCGATCGGCGCCCCGGGTGTTGTGCACGAATCTGCTGTGCACTACTGCTGTACCACAATTAGCCCGATTGCAGAGAGCTGATTGCAGAAGCGACTGAGAATTTTTTCCAAGATATTCCAAATCTCACGAGGTCTGATTGCCTTCCAGCACACCTAATATTGTAGGTGCAGAGCGCTCTGGCGTGAGTTGAAGTAGTGACTCGTACGTATTACTCGGAGTACTTTGTACAGCAGCACTTCAAATGCGCCCAAGCAAGCGCAGATTCTCCCCGTCGGCAACCAACGGTACTGGTTTTCATATTTTAATGGACCTGAGCAGAACCGGTGCTTCGTGACCACGGCCTACGCCCTACACCCCACTGCAGAAAGTACAGGCATCTTGACCGCAACTAACCCCGAACAACACGAGAACCATACAACATTCTACACTTTGCTTGATGAAAAATGCACGATGAATCTACGCGGGTGTTCGCACCGCCTATTGCTGACTGACACCTCTATATACTCATAAACACCAAATAAAGCGCTTCCTCGAGGGTGGGGTCGGACAGGCACGTAGACGTGCGAGCAAGTAAAGCAAGTACAAGTCGCGCTGCGCTAAAATGTCGACTGCGAAAACTCAGCGCACCAGACCCACTTCATTCTGGCATCTAGGACGGAACGGTGCAAACCAAAGAAGGCTAAAAGGAGTGCGCCCGCTTGTCGCAAGAAGCAGCAGATCACAACGAACGGTCAGCACGCACCGTTTTTTCGCACATTCCACACGATTTAAAACAGAACACACGGACAATCACAGACGACGAGCAAGGGCGGGGCAAATGAAGGGCCTGGATACCCGGGTGTGAAAAACCAAAGGACGACGGAGAAACGTTGCAAACAAGGCTAGCAGGTAACGGAGACCTGGCCTGACACGCCATCACGAAGGAAACAAAAAGGGGTAACACACAATATTTTGCCTCAAAACAGTAGCTCCAGATGCCAGCCGGGGACAACACACTTTGAAGTCAGAGCAAGCTAGTTCAGTGGGGCCTTCGAAAGAACAACCATCGGAACAAGTCGTCCTCTAGAAGGAGCGCCTTGCTTCAAGGATATCAGCCAAAAGTAAAGTCGAACCTGGGCTGGGCTGTACATTCATTCATTCCACAGTGGAGAAAACAAAAAAATGTTTAAAATTATCGAAAGCCCTTCCTGCGCAACCCGAGCTCTGTAGCGTGGCGGATATCTAGACTGGAGGGCATTCCGAGTGATCCGCCCATTTGAACATGCACCTAAGGCCGAAATGGTTAGACCTTTAAGACAGCGACAACAAAGGCGAAAACACAGACACCTGGCACAACAAACCCTTCAGCCAAAACAGACGTGGGGCCTTTATGGTACTGCGTGGGGCTTCCTCCTCAGCAAGGAGCACTCCCTCGCTCGCTCATCTTCCAACAGCGATAAAACAATTCCTCCGATCCATTGCGCACAATGCACAGGAAAACAACAAGGCTCTTTCAGTGGAAACACTACAAACACTACCCTATTCCGGCGTATACGGCGCGGAAGACCTACGCAGACGCGCGCACGTCACGCGCGATTGCAGGCAACAACAAGCACAAGCCTTCTTTCTCTACACTACACTATAACTAAACCCCCAAAACGGACTCGTATATCTCACTCACCACACTCGGTCAAGTGCATCTAATTGGCCAGATGTAGAATTCAGCACCAGTACATCTATTGACACGCCCCAACTCCACGGCTCGCAGAGGGCCCGGAGTAGTAACGGAAACGCTCAGCCACCCGCCAAGTTGTCAGGGTGAGAACGGTTGCCTTTCACCGAACAAGAACAGCAGTGGCCGAATGCCTCTCCTCTCCCTCTTTTCGACGAGCGTGCCACATGTCCGTGTCTCATGGATGACGGCCAGTCACATCAGGCATCAGTGCTTCTTCTGGTATTCCTGTTTTAAAAGCATGGCGGTGTACCATGGCGTGGGAAAAGCAAGGGTGAGTCAGGCAAGTCGTTGGGCAACAGGGTTCGCCCTACATCTCAACTGGTAGTTATTTCCTGAAAAATTCCAACACAAATCATGTGGGAACCAGGGCAGAATGGCAAATCGAGATTCCGCTGTCATGATCAAACGATATTTGCACATGCCGGCTTCGCTCGTCTTACCTTCTACTGTTTCATGTGCCACTGGCATCAGATCTTTTGTGTCCATCGAAAAAATCGGGGGTTGGTTGTAATGACAGCGGGTTATTAGGATGGAGAGCGTCAGAAAACGATCTGGAAGCTGCTATCCATGGCCATTCTAGAATGCGTACTTCCGAGGCTCTCTTCTCTTGAGTGTGCGTGTTGACGACTAACGTACCACCGCCTGCTCTCGCGATTCCCGTCAACGTATTCAAGTACATAAAAACAATCACGACTTCACTATTTGGTCTCATCTTCTCACAGCCGGCGCTGAAGCGCGTTGAGACGTCTCGACGTCGCGTACTTGTGCCTGAAAGTGTCCCGTCGGCTACAGCAGTGTGGATACACTACACCGACATGAAAAAAGAAACACGGCAGTTATTTTTCTCCCTGTTTGGATTTAGGACTAACAACACGCCCCAGAGGCGCCGACCACGGCTTGGGGTCAACGACAACAGTACCCCCCCACACAGCAGCCGCAGCAGAACCTCTTGGAAACGAAACCCGACCGTGTGGTGGGCGCTTGTGACTCGTTACAGCTTGTCCTTACCTTGTACTTCTTGAAGGCCGCCTGGATGATCATGGCGTTCATGTCCTCGCTCTTCTTGGCCTTCTTGCCGCCCTTTCCAGCTTGGCCGCCCTTGCCGGCCTTGTGCTTCTTGCCCGCCGTCTTACCGCCCATCCCAGTCCTGCGGCAGGACAAAAACCAAAGCAAAACGTGGCGGGTCTGTCAGAAACGAGGCGTCCACTCTGGGAGGACCCCAGAAACGAGTTCATGTCACGGTTCTCAATCCTCGTGCTGCAGACAGGGGACAGAGGATGCGGACCTCCTGTTGTCGGGAGGGCTCGACAGAAGTTGTTTTTCTTGAATGGACGAACGAGCCCAAAAACAAAAAAATGCTACTTCTGAAAGGTAGACTCTGTACCAACGGTGGGCATGCTTTCTACTTGTACTTAAGGGGGTGCAGAAGACGAATTTTGATGTTGACTGCTTTTGAAATCATTGCAAGAGTACCAGAAATTGCACAACAGACACACCAGACCAGTAGGAAGCCAGCGCAAAAAACAGAAATCGTTGATTCTCGCACAGGGCGGCAGTAGAGGCTGCTCAAAACATATATTTCACGCGTCTACCTCCACACGCCCCCTTTGAAATCAAGATAAAAAATTCACATCATTCTAAATTATAGTCAAAAGAGCTAAAACGGAAGGCGCTCAAACAAGGTCAATTTTGAGTATTAGGTGTCGCATTCTATTGTCATCAGTAGAGGACATCATGAAGATGCGTCGTGCGTGCTGGCACGTTCAGGTTTGCTACTGGAGCTGAAATATCGAAGGTCGGAACCAAGCGGCATCCAACATTTGTCACAGTCGTGCTCGCCGCCACTGACCCCAATCCATTGAACCACGGGTCGTCAGCAGTAGCTAGTGGCTGTTTTCGGAGGCTGTTGCGACCTTCGATATTTCAGCTCCAGCAGCAAACCTGAATGCACCAGCACACACGACGCCTTTTCATGGTGTCCTCTACTGATGACAACAGAATGCGACACCTAACCCTGGCGGGAAGGTTGTTTTCTTTCTTTGTATAGGATGAAAGTGTGGGAAAAAGAGCCAGCGTCACTACCCCTTTTCTGCACCCCCCAACATTCCTGCAAGAGCAGTTGACCTTGAAAATCCCTACCGCATGAACCAAGACCACCTGGTAGGCGGCAGATAAATGATACCGCGGGCGACGGGGGTGTCATGCAACCACAAGTGTACGTAAATGTTCGGTAAGCATATTGTTACGCCGAACAAATTTGGATGAATACGGGGAGCGCCGAAGAGCGACGACGACAAGAGAAAAAAGCGGAAATTGTTCGTGTTGAATGCATCCATGTTTTCCGAACTACACGCCCATCCCAAACAGGGGGCGATCGTGTGTATTTAAAACTGTAACTTTTACTGATTCCTTCTACAGTGTATGCACAAATCAATACCCAGACACAGCACCTGCTGTGTACTACAAGTGGTCGAAAGTCGAAAGGCAAACAACAACAATCATCCCCTCAAAGATCGAAACTACGAGCAGGAAAAATTTACGTGGCTGGAAAGTCCCAAAATTTTTCACCCGGTGGAGGTGTTTCAAACGTCACGTGCTCAGGAGCCAACTGCTTAACCGCGTTCCAGGAAGCGCGAAACTACAGAAATGGTTCCAAAGGTACCGGATACCTTCGGTCAGAACAAGAACAAGGCGACCACCAGCACGGCAGCACGCCACTACAACGAACCACCCTTTGGAACGAAGGAAGGAGCACCGAGCGAAAACACATAGCGTAGCGAGCGAGAACACGAGAGCCACAAAAAGTAATCAGAAATCCACCGCTACTCACAAGAAAAATACAACCACCCTCTTATCATTCAGTGACGACTCACTTGCGTTGGATGTACCCCCGAGCTGCCGCCTGCACCTTGGCTGCCATCTGATCCTTAAAGTCACCCATGGTTGATATGGAACGGCGGTGTAGGTACGCAGACCTGCTTCAAGCGACATGGTGACATGGAACAGCCGTAAATGCTTCCTTGTTCCTTCGTGCTATTTTCGATGGTGCGGAACAACTCCGGAGGGTCCGAGCGAAGAGAGTCAATCAAGCGAGCTGGCAGCAGACAGCATACACACCAAAGGAAACCAATAGCAGTACCCACCCATGCCGTTCTCGTCTCTGGTACAGGACTGTTCGCCGGCGTATAATACAGCCCAGGAAATCACTTCCTCAGCAAACGTAGATAGTATCGGTTGTTTGGCGTGTGAGCGGTTCGTGTGGTCAAGATCGAGATCACCACACAACAATAATCTTGGTCGCTCATGCTGCGTGGAGAGGAAGCGTGGCTAGAAGATATCGCGTGTGTGCGCGCCAACAACACCTTCCGCCAGGGAATACGGTACAGGTACGCGACGACCCTCCTCGGACCCAGCATGGCTTGGGAATGGCGTACATGACACATGACATGGCAGAGCGCCGGAGGCGGATCGGAAGCTCAACCGCGTAAATATGCATAAATGCATATACATAGAGCGAGCGCGGTCTTCCTCCTCTCTCGTCTATTTCCCTTCGCTAATTCCTGTGCAGTGTCTAGTTCTGCCACCCTTTCCTTCTCACCTTCGGCGCCTGAGCTCGATGGGTCGAGGGTATACGGCAGACAGGGGGTACAGGGAGGGTTGGTGGGGAAGGAAGAGCGAAGTTCTGACGTGTGGCGAGCGTCCAGCACCTGCCACGCTAAAAAAAAAACCGGGGGTCCGCGTTTTGCATGTATCGTACCCTACATACCCAAACCAAATAGGGGACATTTGAAGGCCCCCCTTGCCGTCGTGCGAGAGCAAGCAAGGTAGAGAGGAGAGCCTCTGTTCGACTCTGTTGCAACGGGCGCGGTCATCATCGCCTCTTAACGGAGTTGAATAAGGTGGAGAGTGGGAGAGTATTGCAAACGGGGAGAACGATGCTTGCGGCATCAGTAGTCAAGTCAGCCAAGCGAGGAGCCCTCGATGTTGCACGCCGGCGGGCTGCTGCTGCATCAGCAGCATCAGCAGCGACCAAGACAAGGCCGGTAGCTAGCTCGAGCGTATCGATGACACAAGCCAGGGTGTTCTCTGCGGCTCCCAGCCCTGAATGTGAGCTTCCTCTGTCTTCTCATAATACCGCATTTGCATACGCGGAAGGCGTGGCTCATTCGTTGTGCACCCCGGGGAAGTACTCCCACCGCGGCCTGCACGTAGGATGTTACCCTTGGCCACAACCCAATACCTCTTTGTACGCAAACACACGCCATGGGCGTAGCTGGCCTGCTTGAGTATGGCCATGGAATTGAGTGGTAAATGGAAAACACGAGAAAAGCGACACGGAGAGCAAGGTATCCGAAGTATATCGAGTCACCCTACAATGTTCTACAGTAGTATGCATCCAGCACTCGTCCAATGCTAGAGTTCGGCACGGTTCTGAGGACATGTGTACATCACCTCTTCGCGAGTCTACGATAGCGCCCGCCTTTGTTCGACGTGCTGATGAACCCATGCGGCGATTTCCGTCCATAACTCTCTATGGACGGAACAGCAAGTAGTTTGTAGCACCTGCCGTTATTGGTTTGGTACCCCACGTACTCAATCACGACCGCCGCGGGGCGCTCGGTCGGTATGTCTGCACATGTTCCGTGTCATATGCTTAAGGCTGTCTACTATACAGAACGTTCATGTATCAATATGCTGTTTTGATCTTGAATGACTGGAGCACCGATAGCAGAAGAGTGCAGTGGTGGTTGAACACGCCGTGCGGAATAACACGCGAGAGGGCAGGGGTCTGTTCGCAACTTCCTGATATATGCAGCGAGCGGTCTGCGCACATGCGCCCACACGCAGGATGAACTCTGGTTTGAGACATGTTGCGTTGCTCACATGAGGTGTGGACTGACGCCCAGAATATATGCGACAACACGAAAGCCAACAGCACTTCCCCCCCCCCGTCAATTATTAGCAAACCCAGTGTCTGACCATGGAGCTTTTCATACTGCAACCGGTGGATGCTGGTGTTTGCTGTATGCTGCTGTTGTTGTTTGTGGACATTATCGGTGTGCAGACCTGAGGCACCGCCCGGTGATGAATTTGCATGAGGAGCGTGGCTTCACCATGTCCACCACCTTCGTCGCACCGTGCGCGTCTGTCGTCGGGAACGTGAGGATCATCGACCACTCGTGCGTGTGGTACGGGGCCGTCATCCGAGGTAGGCTCGGTGTGCACCCGGACCGCTACATCTAGCATGAACTGAAGAGGCGATCCAGCGGAAGGGGCGGGGGGAGAGAAGAGGGTAGAAATATCGCATTCGTGTTCGCATCATGCCAATTTGAGTAGGCGGTGCGTTAGAGCGATTTATTCAGAGGCACTCTGATGTTTGTGCGCGAACCGTGTTTGTACGTCCACTACGTACGAGCGCAACAAGCCCTCTTTGCGGTCGGTGTGGTGTACGTGAAACGGTGTCAATACGGTAGGGCATGTTTGTTACATGCGACGAGTCACTCGCGTGGTCCGCGTGCATTGCCTTTGATACGACACATATCATCCAGCCCGTTGTTCGTTGTTTCGATTTCTGGGGCTGTGTCGCTCGTTTTTTCTGCGGGCGTGTTTCGCTCGTTGTTCTTTCGTGTTGATGCTCGGCACACGATAGGAAGAAGACTTACCTTTCTACCAAGCTGTAGCTGTTGCTCGCGTAGACGTCGGTATCAATTTTCTAGGCTCTCCCGTTGCTTAACGCGTGGTTTTCAGCTCTACATTTCCTTGGCACGTACGCTGTACGGCTCGCTTTGTGCCTTCCCCGCTCGCTACCCGTTTGCTGTTATTTTCCTTCTTGTTGGATTGCTGTTGGTTCTCGTCTGCAGGGGACAAGAACAAGGTGAAAATCGGCGCTCACGTCCACGTTGGTGACAAAGCAGTGATCAACACGGTGGGACATGTCGACACCGGCTTCTCCGCGGAAGTTGCGATCGAGTCTTGGGTCGTCATCGAGCCCGGCGCGGTGCTGACGTCTTGCATGATCGGCAACAGGTGAATGGAGGGGTGGGGTATTGGCAGTAGCAAGCAAGTCAAACCTGGCAAAGTACTGCATGTCCTTACCGTGCGATTTTTCTCTCGAGACTACGGTATTCTTCATCTCTATGTATGTGATATGATTCTCAGAGTTTTGACTTCGACGATGTTGGGATCGAGCCCGTTGCTGTGTCCCTGCAACTGGCACACGCGCTCCAACAAGCGAGCAGGACCATCCAAGGAACCGGTCGTTGTCACTAGCGACAGCATGTTTTTCTGCTCTCCAACCCTCTCTTGTGTTGCGCTGATGTGCCAGCCGTTGCCGACGAGCCCCACTCAAGCGACGCGGCACACACTTTGCTGTCAGCGGGCAGACAAATTTGAACCGTGCCGCTGTGAGACGTCAATTGTTGCTGTGTGAGCCCGAGCCATGCGTTGCTCCGTGTGCCTTGTTTCGTGTTTTGACTGCGTACGGCCGTTTGCGATTGGCATTGATTTCTCTATTCGCAGGTGCAAGATCGGTGCCGGTGCCGTGGTCGCCGAAGGCTCGGTCATGGAAGAGGGGGGACAGATTGCCGCGGGAACGGTAGTGCCTCCGGGATGCCTCGTGCCCAAGAACGAGCTGTGGGCGGGCAACCCTGCCAAGTGAGGATACGTGTTCGTTGGTAGGCCAAAACATGCTCAGCGAGAGAGAGAAGATACATAGACAATTGGAAGGAGAGAGAGGAATCAGGGGGAGTTTAGAGTGATGAGCACAGAATCAATGAGAGCCGACAAGGGAAACCGAAGATGCAGCTCGGAAAGCGTTTTGACGGTCCATTTTCGTCCAACGCTTACTCTTCTTCTAGTGGTTGATCGGCCCCCTCCCTCCAAGGATTACAGGCCTGGCAATCGTATACCTGCCTGGTTGCAACAGCAAGACTCCGATGGAAGCGAATCAAAACGTTTTGATCCTCCTCCCTTCGACATGGTACCCACCAATTGCACCCGTCCTCATCCCTCTTTCTGCCTCTTCCCTGTCGTATTCACCCCCCCTGGTTGTTCTCCAAAAGGCAAACGCAGTAAGAAACAACGCTTACATAACCTCGGGAACGACGAGCCCCATATCTGCTCTTATTATTGACACAGTATGCCGCCGGCCCGTCTAAGTATTGTTTCTGTTTGCCATTTACTCCGTTCCATTCAGGTTCGTGCGCAAGCTCAGCGAGGAGGACGTGGCGGAGATAGAGGCAGAGGCCGAGCGAAGGAGCGCGCTGGGAGAGTTGCACGCGGACGAGTTCAACCCTTACGGCCAGGGGTACGTCCAGGCGGAAGAGGCATGATTAGGCAGCCTACTTTCGTGCAGCGCGGCAAGCGTTTGTTCCTCCCCCCCCTTCAAGGAGGGGAGTGGGAGAAGAGAGGGTTATAGGTTTCGCCCTCGCCTCCGGTCGAATGTTCGGGTGTTCCCCGCTGAAACGCAGGCACGCTTGTTGGGATAGTTGTTCAGAAAGAGAAATGTCCTTGAACCACACGCAGACCTGAGGCGAACAAGGACAGACTATTGCTGTCTTGGTCTAGTGCGGGCTGTGCGTTTCAGAGAGAAGAGGGATTGGTGGAGGACCGAACTCGGGCTGTATTTCATGGGATAGTTCTAGGGAGGGTTTGCGTGTTTGTGGAAGAACTGTTCGACACCGGGAGATCCGAGCGGCAAACTTTGACGCCTTGATTTTGAATCGCCTGGTTGGAGCTGCAATGACACGACATGTTGGTGCGGTCTGTTGACATTCGTTTGGCCCGCGGATGGCAGAGTACAGCAGTGAAGGGATCTCAGTAGTGCCGGTGAAGTTTTCATGCCCGACACGGAAGTGCTGGTGGAATAACTCGGTACCGATGCGTCATCTACCTACAATATTGTATTGCTTGGAATTGTGCGGATGCCCACTTTAGTGTCGTTGAATTCGGCTTGCACATCCTGGCACTAGTTTTTCCCTCCCACTTGCCGCATCAATCTTCTTTTTGCGTGTGCGGTGGCGATGCTGGGGATAGAGGCACCGCTTGCAGGGAATCCGAGGAATATGAGCCCCACCAGATTCCGGGTTATGGCGAGAGAGGACGACAACAGCAATAGTCTAGTCGTCACGGGGATAGATCAACCGAGTTTGTGATTTTCTTCCCGCACGACTCAAAGCAGGAGCAGCGCCAAATGCTTGTGTAAGATTCGCTCGTGTGGTGGAGCTTTTTGCGTTGCGCAGTCCTTACCGCGAGGGCGAGGGAACGCCCGCATAAAGGACGCGATCGGGAAAGAGCCACATCATCCGTACATGACCGTTGGTCGAGATTGGAGGGTGCAGGTCCACCGCCCCCTTTGCTTGTAGCTGGCAGCAGCGCTGTTTGCTATGGAGGTATGCACTCGTGGACTTAGTCGCGGATATCAACGAACCTGGTTCACTTGTGCTCTATGTGCTTGCGTCCTCGCTAACGAAGACACCCAGCAAGGTGTCCGTACGGTCAATTGCACCGCTGTTGCCTTCAGATAGCACCATGCATCGCACATGCAGCGATACCATCGTTCGTGTGTCGCATTCGAACCTTCAGTCTCTTGTACATGTACACTACACACTATTACCCCGTTTACTCCGCGAAAAGGTTCTCTTGGTTCTGAATTCGGAATAGTTTGAGGCGAGGCAATTGCACCGTATTGACACCATCCAAATCACATTGGATCCCTGTTCCACGGATCAGCAACACCGGCGCAAAGTCATCATGGCATCTTCCTCGCACGGTTACGACGATGGCGGAAGTGACGATGCCTCGGTGCAACTCAACCCCCGCCAAGAGGTCAAGCGCTTCATCAGGAACGTCGAAACTCCTGGTACCTTCGCGTTCGGCTCGAGCCTGCTCGCTCCTTCTCCAAAGCTCACCGTGCAAGGTCTCGGGAGCATCTCCCTACCCCTGAGCAACGAACACGTGGGCGCGCTGAGGGGTGCCGCCGAGCGCGCACCGTTCGGTCATGGAACAGAGACGAAGGTGGACGAGAGCGTGCGTCGGGCGTGGCAGATCGATGCCTCCCTCCTCGGGCTCTCGAACGAGTTTGCTCAAGCCGTAGGGAAGAAGTACGCCTTGCACGCCGCGGGAAAGCTGGGGCTGAGGGCCAAGGCCTTGGGCGTGGAGGCCAGGCTGTACAAGCTCGTGATGTGAGTCGGCAGGGAAAAGAGAGACGCGTCGTGTACAGCTGGGCGTGGATGCATCGGGACCCAAGGGCAAGCTTGCAACATGTTCCGTTCGTCTTGAGAACAGAGTAAGCACTGCTGTGTGATTTTCAAACGGCGGGTTTTTCAAATTCAAAAATCAACCCCGTTCGTTCATGTGTACTGACTGCTGGTCCGTGAAACAGATAAACCGCGAGGTGCGTGTAGACTGGCGCCGGGAAAAGATTAAAAAACCCCAGAAAAACCATACACCAAATTGCGCACATATATCCAACATACAACAGTAGTAGCCTTGTGTAGTGTATCTGCTATATGTACAGTATCCACGGTGGGGGTCCCTCTATAGTGCGGGTTATCTAGTGCGGGTGCCCGATATAGTGCGGGTGAAATCGCCTGGAACAACTTAGACCCCTCAATAGTGCGGGTGCCACCTCAATAGTGCGGGTGCCGCACCATTCGGGGAATCCCTCTATAGCGCGGCCTTTGTCCCTCTCCAGACCCTCAATAGTGCGGGTACCGACGTCACACCCTCAGAATATTGTAGCACCAGTACCGCACTTTGCAGCACATCTGCTGTCATTTTGTTGTTGTTGTTGTTGTTGTTGTTGATGTTGTTGTTGTCTTCACGTTAAAAACCGTTCCGGTCTCCGTTCAGTACGTTCCAATGTCCGTACTATAACAGTCCAACTGACGCGGACGCCTTCCGTGGTCACAAGCCAACTACCAGGTACCATTTTGCCGCACAGTTCTGCTGTCTTGTTTGGTACCGCATGCATGGAGTGTCTGAAGTAACATATGTACCTGTGTTGAATGAGCTACAGCAGATTCGAGTTACAAGTACGCCCCGTTTTGTTTCTTCGTGCGTGCAACCCACCCATCCCCGCAGACGTTGTGGTGTTGTGTAGAGTGGGGTTTTGTTGGGAAAGCTGAGAGGCTGTGGGTCCATATTGACGTGTTCTTTGTTTTTGGGGTGTTCCCCCTTTCCTTGTCGTATCTATCTGTGGGAGTCCGGGGTTTTGGGTCGTGCTGAAAGTTGTTTGAACGGTACGTGTTTTTTTATGTTTTGGCAAGGTTGGTCGTTCTTGCCTCGTACCAGTGGTAGATTATCCTGTGAACATTTATATGTACAAGGGACACTACACAATGGAACAACACACCTTTGCTACCAGCGTACATTGCGCAACATGTCATGGAGCACGTATAAATGTCTGGTGGTCTGTTCATGGATGTGGTATCACCGCTACGCAGTGTTCGCAACATGCTGTTGTGTTCTCGTCTTACCCACGAACGAACGCAGCCTTCTATCTTGCAGACGCCACGTCGATTTTTCCCCCTCGCGTGTTGCGCGCATCATGCACTGCCGCCTGCATAGGCCTTTTGATTCATCCTGTTCGGACTCTATACCAGTGATATCGCGAATAGTACGCCTTCCCGCACTATTGATGGTACTGAGAACCCTGAATAGCGCGTCGTTGAATATTTAGTGCGTCTTCCCGCACTATTCAGGCCCGAAATCATGTAGTGCGGGTGCCCGCTATAGTGCGGGTGAAATCGCTTGGCACATACCCACACTATTGAGGGACCCCCATGGAATAGAGAGGAGAGGACGGCAGCTGTACTGGGGAGTAGGAAGTGGTTTGAAAAGGCGGGCAGGGATATCGTTAGGATAGACAGACTAGGGAAGACATTTTTGAGCCACCTTTGGCAAAGTAGGAAGGGACGATTGGCCATCGGTGATCGGTCCTGTGGGAACAATGCTCCGTCCTCTCGAGGACGCGTGGTCAATGGTCTAACCGCTAAGGCATGCAAAACATAAGACTACGCCCCCCCCCCCCCCCCCCCCCCCCCNNGCTACAAGTCAGCGCTGACTTTGTAGTATGGTGGCTATGCTACATCTAACAAAAGTACCATCGGGGCCCTTCAACTCGTTTGAGCTGTTGGACCTCTTCGGTTTTCGCCCCAGGAGTCAGCGCTGACTTGTAGCATGGCGGATATGCTGCACATCTAACAAACGTACCCCCAGGGTCCGTCAACTCGTTTGAGCTCTTGGACCTCGGTGTTAACCCCAGGGTAGGCTGTAAGACCATGTACGCACGTCAGTGTCAAACACCCAGTCAAGAAGCAATCGCACGTCAGCATTGTGTGTAAACAGGGGCAGCAGCTGCAACCATAAGCAGAAATATGTACCTTCAGCAGTCGAGTCATGTCGTGGCGTTGTCAGCAGAGGTGCAGAGCTAGGCAGACCGTGCAGACCGCCGCTCAGGTTGGGCCCGACGTCGGCATCGCGGCATACATAAATGCATACTATGCATACTATGCCTACACACAGATACACATGCGTGCGGCATGCGGGGTTTCAACCAAGGAAAAGGTCGCCGAGCTCCTAAAAATGGAGCCAACACCTTTTGGAAGTAGTCTATCGATATATGCATACAACGTCTGTTTTTCCTCTGTCTGCTCTTTGCATGTTCTTGCGTCACCCCTTACCGCGGTGCCCTCTTTACCCCACTCCGGAGGGAGGCCTTGAAATCCCTGTACAATCAGCGCTGCCTCATGCGGTTAAGCGGCTTGCAGGCGGGAATAACGTGTTTTCACTTGGACGACTGGAATGTATACCATGACTGTCAGGGGTGGATTCCAGACATTTTTATTTCCCGGAAAAAAGGCGTAACAAATGGTCACAGAGGGATTCGAACCCCGGTTGTACCTTTCAGCAACCAAGAACAAGAGGACCAGGAGAACCGTTCGTGTCGGAAGATGTTCAGAGATACCTCAGGTACTGCCTGCAGCAGCGGCGAACGATCGTCAAAATGAAGTTTCCAAACCCAAGCAACAACGTTAAGTCCATACACCCCTGAAGCACCTAGTGCATTGGACCCATCACATCTGGAGCGTAGAATTTAATTTTACTTTTCTCGCAATCCTGGTGTTATTTTTTGTTTTGCTGGACTCGTCCGTCAACTACGACGTGTTTCTCTCGATGTCACGTGCACTCCTATACTCTCTGTCCCTCGGCCTCTCTAGCACACGGGTGCATACAGAACGGGAAAGATGATGTCAAGCACGAAGTGAAGGAAATCTTAACCTTTCCATCTCCTAATCCCATGCTGGTCTTCAAAACAACTGCTGTTATTGTACCATTGTTGTGCTCAACTGTTAACCAGGGGCGCGGCAATCAACTCACTTCTGCTGCGCCGCACACATCGTAGAAAATTCACAAGCACGAGATGTCGTCTCCATCAAAACTACCTTGTACTGCTAAGAAAAAGTCGAACCGTTAGTGCTTGCAACGAAATTTGTGATCAGGGTGATCACACGCTATTTTTGAATCGTTTGCAAAGCCGAGAATAAGAACTGTTTGTGAGGACACAGGCTTTGCCTCGTTGGAAGGAGACCTCGATCGTAGTACCGGGGACTGGCAGTTCTCTTCGTTGAGATTTGGCAAGGAAGATCTCGAAAAAGAGAGAGAACAAGAGAGTGACACTCAAGGGAAGAGGGAAGCGAGGACCAAGGGTCCCGTCTCCGCAGGTGCCGCTGAAAGTCCGTATCCATGGTCAGGATTCTTGCTGTTCAACCATTAGCAAGATACTCCGCTCGGATCGGATCTTCCCACCGTGTATGTGCAATAACGGTTGTAACACTTTTACACATGTGCTCCACATTTGCCCCAAGATACAGCGAGGCCTCGCTGGCTTCGAGTACTGCGGTTAGTCGCATATAGTGTATATTCACTCCCATCGAAGTTGCACTGCACCCGGATACTCAAGAGATATGTATGTGCAACATCGCAGCAGCACAACTCCTGCCGAATCCTGTGGTGGAAGGACTGGTGTTGTCCAAGGTCACCATTTAACGCCCACCGCGTGTTTCGGATGGCGTGTTTTTCGTCGGGTGTGGAGATATTCTCACATTCTGTCACATTTTGTGAGCCTTCTAGCATTCTCCCCCTCCTGAAAAATTCCCCTCCATTTGAAAATGGTCTGTGCTTCCAACAGGTACGAGAGTGGAGGACACTTCCGGCCACACAAGGACACCGAAAAGGAGGCCGGGATGTTCGGAACGCTCGTGGTGCAGCTACCGACCGCCGCCGGGCACAAGGGTGAGTCTTTGATCGTGCGCCACCGCCGCAAGCAGCACGTCTTCGCCTGGGAAGACCCGGACGGGAGCTACGCCCGCAGACTTGGGGGTGGAGTGGCGGCAGCTGTGGCGGGAACGGCAGCCGGCGTACCGACCGCCGCAGCGGATGGGGTCGCCGGGGGCATGGCCAGCACTCCGCCCTCTTCTCTTCCCGTGCGTTGCGCGGCGTTCTATGGCGACTGTGAGCACGAGCTGCAGACAGTCACGAGCGGTGTGAGATTGTGCCTCCTGTACAACCTCGTGCGGACCACGCCGGGTCCCCAGCCCGTCGGCGCCGTCGGCCAGAGCGGATCGGCGGCGTAGCTCCGTCTCTCGGACGCAGTAGCTGCGTGGGGCCGTCCCGGCAGCAGCTGCGACGCCGCCAAGTTCATCGTTCCGCTCGAGCACGAGTACACGAGGGTCAACATGTTGTTCGGCGGTCTGAAGGGTCGGGACCATGCGATGGCGGACTCTCTGCGCGCGTGCAGGGATCTGGACCTGTACCTGGCGCACGTCGTGAAGCACGAGAGCGGCACCGCGGCTCCGCAGCATCCGCAGTACGGTTACCGTGGACGGGGGAGTAGCCCCGGTTATGGCTGCGGACCCCGGAAGCGGCGCAAGAAGTGTCCATACGACTCCGACTACACATCAGCAGACGACGACAGCGATCACGGCGACATGTTCAGCCCAGATTACGACGACGACGACTACGAGTCGGACGCTGAAGACCAGGAGATGGACTATGAAAACGACGTCGAGACGGATGTTGCGGCGAAGAACTGGGTAGCTTGCAATGACAAACGAATATATCTGGACCTCGGCATCGACATCGAAAGTGAACTTCTCGGCTGTGATGATGACGACGATGCTGAGTATGACGAGGAGGAGGCCATGGAACTCCTATTCCCGGGCAACGAACCCGACAAGCGGGAGTACGAGGGGTACACGGGGAACTACAGCCCAAGCTTGGAGTTTTGGTACCACCGGGCTGTACTCGTCCTCTGGCCCGCCTCCGCCACGATGCGCACCGCCCTCCGTTGCGGGACTCACGCCGCTCTCAGCGCGGCCCGCCAACGCTCCGCCCGGTACGGCGCCACCAACACCCTACCCTTGGCTGATCTCGCCACGATCGTCTCTCTCGCCGAGAGGAAGCCGGAAGAATACGAGTTCGCCAAGGAAGAGCGTTACGCGGCGACCGTCTTGGACTTGTGCGCCGGTGCCGGAGCGGCAGCGCTGGACTCTTCTCGCCGCTTCCTTCAACTCCTCGCCGGCGGTACACCGGGCGCCGTCGAGAATCTGGGTTTTCGAGGTGACGGTCTGTCGCAGGGAGTGGCGGCGCTAGTGAGGGCGGTCGGGTGGCAAGCGGTAGGGGGGGACGTGTTGCAAATTGTGAAGGCTAGCACACTGGAGCAAGCGAGATGCATCACCGGGCTTGCTTGGAAACTGTCCACGGTTCCCCAGCAACAGCAGCAGCAGCACGCTGCCGGGGGTGGGGATTCCAACGACTCTTCGGCTGGTGCCCTGATCGCCAGCACTTACGCGGGTGGCATCGCTTCCGACCCTCCCGCTCTCGAGCGCGTCACCGCCTACGGAGCGGCCGGTATTGTCCGCCTGTTTCTTCTCCGACTCCCCTGCTGCAACGGCACATGTTACGGTACCGACCCCCAGCTCTTGTCGTTCGCTAGGGTTGGGAGCGTCCGCTTGCAGACAACCGCTTTGGCCGCGGCTGTTCACGAGTTTCTAAGGGGGCTACCAACTATCTTGAAAAATTCTATCGCTGCTGCAGGTGCCCACTCGTCCGCGGTGGTGACCCTAGCGACGAAGCTCTGTTCGCGTGGGTTTCAACACCTGGGTAAGACGGAGGTCAAGACGTTTGCGGAGGATGTGCTGTGGCTGGCGGCGCGCGTCGACGGCGCCGGCGGGTTGGAGCAGGCATTCGCTGGTGCGGTATTGACGAGCTTGAGAAGCGGCGACTCTCGTCAGGTCCGCAAGGGTCAGGGCAAGCTAAAGGCGGTGCTCAAATCCGAGACCGTGCAGGCCGCCGTCCGTGACGGCGGGGGCTCCGGTGCAGTGTTCTGGAGGACCCTCGTGTCAGAGCGGATGAAAAAGCTTCAGACAATCGCCCCGCCCGTGATGACCTGGCGACAGCCTAACGCCATCTTCCATGGTACGTGCTGTGTATCTGGGATTGCGCCGAAAACGTAGTGTCTAGTGTCGCTGTGCTGTTCATGTATTGTTGGGAGCAATGAATTCGTCCGCGGCAGTGACGAGGGGGTGACACCGATCGTTCCACATAGCGTGTTCGGAGTCAGGGCGTCCATCTTTCTCCAACCGGCGTTACGAAGCACCAGAGATCCTATGTTCGTCTTTTCAAGCGCCCCCCCCCCCCCCTTACCGCCCCGGGTCCTCGCAATACACACCACGTGTCTTTCCCACCACACCACACCTCAGAACACCCTCAAGTGCAGCAGTTCCTCCGCGGCCCCGAGCCGAATATGACCTACACGCGATCGGGCACCTTCAGCAACAAACAGCACGCCAGGAATTTCGCCCGAAAGTACTTCTCGTCCAACTTCAGCGAACCCCGACACTTCAGCGCACGGTGCTACGAGCAAGGACGCGGGCGCAGCGCGTACGTCAGCATTACCAAAACCACGGAGTTTTACGACGAGGACGTCAGAGTTTACAAGGAAGACACGGCTGAGGCCGCCGTGTTACGCGGTCTCTTGGGTAACAATAAAGCCAGCCGCAGGGGCAGGAGCGGCGGGGGCACCGCCGGGGGTGAGAACGGGGCTGCTGGTGCTGCTGGTGCTGCTGGTGGTAGTACGTCCGCCCCCCCTCCTTCTTCCGTGAGCGGGAACGCTAGAAACGGCGTGGGGACGGCAGCAGCCGGTAAGCGGCAACCCGAAAAGGTGGAAGCGATCGATCTGTGCAGTGACTGACTTCATGTTTGTGTAGGACTCGTCCGGAGGTGAACATTTGATGTGCCTGCGGGAAAAGCTGAGGGAGCGTGAAAAGTCTTGTAGCGTCTGCGTGGCCGGGACGGGCGACCGTACGCTTTCGTGGTGCGTGTGGATTTTGCTCGGCTACTTGTTTCCCCCGAGGCGCTTTTGATAATCGCCCCACTTTTAGGCTTGTGTTGAAACCTCTATACACTGGACTGCACACCTGCACAACAAAGAGCCTTTGGCGCGTTACGACCGTGGCACTTAGTTAGTGCAACCACAAAACGCAACAAGAGAGCGAGAGCGGTGTTCTCTGCCCGCACGAGAGGTTGGGGAATAGATCAAGAATCGACACAAGTATTTCACCCCTTGTGGTGGTTGTTGTTCAGTCGGGGGTCGGAGGATACTGTTCCGACGAGGGGCTCCTCAATAAGGTAATTGGTACCCGGCGGTGCACGTTGCCTGTTCGTGACGCTTTTGCCCCCCTTGGCCATAACTTTGTTTCCCTCGGCTTATCTTTGTTGTGACCAAAAAGTGGTGTTTTTCGAAGGTGTTCTCTTCGTCGGAGATGGATCATTTGATGTAAGTGTTGGATTTAGCGAGGCCTCCTGTGGTCCCGCCCAACCTTGGGTGCATTTCGAATCTTGTGACCATCGGCCCAGGTCCGCATTGAATGGAGGCTCGCCCAAACTTACCCTAGTTGTTGCTTGGGCATGCACGCTTGCTTGCTGACGGGGTTGGCTGTTGACGTGTTTTGTCGAGGCTCCGGTTCTCCGGAACCATGTCCGAGTTGGGCAACATCGTTGAGATATGTGTGTTTTAATTTCAGGGTAATGTGGTTGAACACACCCATGTGGTTCACGGAGATACTAGCGGCTCTTGGCGGCATCAAAGTTGTCGTGGACATCTGGGATATAGTCAGCCGGGGATTTTTTTTAGTACTCTGATTTCGGATGTTGTCGGGGCTGATTGTCACGGTGAGGCTCGCATCCTTGCAGCAGTTCACAGTTGTTGGCAACATCAACCAGCGGACCAAACCGGAACTTTTGCCAGTAATATTTGAAAATTGTCTTGTAGAGCCTGATACCCACAAGGGAGATATCGCTGTGTGCTGCTCGGGAAACCGTGGAAATACAGGTACCGTAAGGTTGCGAGTCAGCGCACAAAGGTGCGAGCTATTTTCAAAGCGTAATTTTTCCACAACCAGGAGGCGACCACTGTCGAAAAGGGCGGTTTTGGAAATATCTCATCACCTGACAAGTATCAGTTGGCGTTCGCACCCTTCTGGCTGTGGAGAAATTAGGCTTTGGAAATCGATCGCACCCCTGTGCGCTGACTCGCAACCTTACGGTAGCTTTCTCTGGCGATATGAATTCATTGCTGATCTATCTTAAGACTCTTTTCTTAGAGATGGATTCGTTGGGTCATAAGAAAAAAAGAAACAATACCCTTGGCGAGTGCTTCACTCAGCCAATCGGCCGAATAGAGTACGGCCTGCTGATAGGAAACTCTCGTCCTCTGGAGGAAGTTCAGTCAGCCAATTGAATTGCGGTCGCTTGTCCGCTGTATCAGGACCGCTCACTGCCAAGAAGCCCATTGGTCGGGTTGGGTGCACGAATAATATTTTCTTGCACGCCTAGGTGCCTCCAGGGTGCTAAGGAGTGCACGGTCGCTCAATCCCTGCAACATTACCATTCCTTCTGTAGTTCTATGGCGCCCGATAAGTCGGAACTTTGCCGAGCAACGCCGATGCGCACCTCATTGACTACGCACCCGGGATTTTCTTTTGTGCCTGGGATGCAATTATTCTACGAGCAAACGAATTTTGCACATCCCCGGTACGCTCATGCCAGGGATTATTTCAGCTCCTCTTAAACCCAATAAAAACTGTGCTGGCCACGAGTTATCGCTGAGACCGGCAAAGACCATCCTCTGGTGAGATGAAGGCATCTCTCGCGCAGATCGGGCCGATACTGTAGTCGGCGAGATTGAATTGGTGTGGCCTACGCCTCTCGTGGGCACGGAACTAGGAAGAGGAGGTGGAGATAAGAAAATATACCCGTAGAAACTCAACAAAAAAATCACACGCTACTTGTACAGCTTGATTCCCCGGGGGGAAAACACCGCCGCGTCCAGAACACTTTGCCATGAGCCTATTTAACAGCCGGAGGTTTGTGCCCTCAGTTTGCCTAGAGGCAATCGTGGGGCGTGAACGCTGCATGAGCCTGGATCGCAAGCGCAAACAGCAAACAAATCAATCGCAGACACAACCGCCGAGTGCAAAGAAAACAAACCAATAACACACAAGACGTTCACCGCCTTGAATGGACAATGCTCGTTGTCGCACGCGAGCAGGACAGATCTTTCCTGCTAGAATACTTGAAGAAAGCAAAGAATACGAACAGAATAATGAACACGAAAAACAGTGCCACGTCTCTCCGCCCTCCCGCAAGAGCACAAATTTCAACGACCTCCGGCAGGCAGGCACTCCGGCCAAGAAATAAAACCATCTCACGGGCTGTCGCACAAATCAATCACCTCTCGCTTTGGGCGCCGCCCAGCAGCACCAATCTTACCGTTACCGGCTTCTGCTGCTCTGGAGACACCGGCCACGTTCCTGCTAACGGGAGCGAGAGGGGCCGTGGGACGACTCACTTCGTTGGCCCCACCTGCCGTAGCACCCCCCCCCCTACTCCCGATGCTCTTTAGGAGGGAGCGTAGGAGGGCGACCTCCGCTCGGACTTCCTTGTGGGCCTTGACTTTCTTTTCGTACAGATCCTTGGTCTTGGCGATCTCGACGTGTGCTCCCCGGCCGGCGCCTCGCGCGACAGCCTTGGCGTTGACCCCGTAAAAGCTGTAAGAGAATGTCCTGGCTTGGGCGATGCTCGTGAAGGGAGAACCGCGGGTGCCACGGTAAATCATGGTGCTCTGCGGTCCGCGTAGGAAGTGCTGTATCTGTGGATCTACACACGGTCGGAGAGGAAACAATCGCGTGACAGGAAAGTATGGAAACACGGACCGGGGAGAAGTGCCGGAAGCAAGGAGAGGCGAGCAGGTGCACCCCGGGGTATTCGCCGCCGTAGCTCATGCTGAAACGTAATTTTCCCGTGAGCTGCAACCATTAAATGAAGGTGGGGTTTCGCATCGTGAGTGAGGCTACGAAACCACAACAGCCCGCAGCAGAGCACCGTGGCATGAGCAAGCCCTTTTGTGCAAGCCAAAGCATAAATCAATACGGCTCAGCAAAATGCTATTTCAAGATACTGTAGAATCACTAAAAACACAACTCATGCACTGCAGACGACCTCCCATCCGTAAACATCGCCGCACCTTTCGAGAAAACCGCGTTCGGCTGTCGCCAGCACAGCTTGGGCGCGGCCTGCGCCTCCAGGTTCACCAGTCGCTCCGACACCAAGGCCCTCCAGAAGACTTCAGAGCCTTTCTTGCCGCCGCCAGCCCCACCACCGCCACGAACGGCGGCCTGCACGGCCTTCGATTCGAGCACCGCCTTCAGCTTCCCCTGGCTCCTGTAGATCTGACTAGGGTCGCCGCTTCTCGTGCCCATCACCATTGCACCGACGAATCCCTGCTCCAACCCGCCGGTGCTGTCGATGCTTGCCGTCAGCCACAGCACATCCTCAGCGAACGTCTTGACCGCCGCCGCGGCCACGTCTTGGAACCCACGCGAGTAGAGCCCCGTAGCAAGGGTGACCACCGCGGACGAGTGATGGGGGGGAGGCTGCCCTCCCCCGGCGCCTGTGGCGGCTGCGGTAGAAGTTGAGGCAGCGGCGACGGTGCCTGACGTGACGGCGGGAATGGATCTCCCGGTGCTTGAAGCAGCGGCTACCGTGCCGTCCAGCCGGCCGCGGAACTCGTGAACCGACTTGGCCAAGACATCTGTCGGCAGATGGACAGCTCCCGATTTGGAAAATAACGCGAGGACAGGGTTGACACCGCTGCTAGCGTTGACGCTGAAGCAGGGAAGGTCGAGGAGCAGCAGGCGGACGATGGTGGGCACCTCCTTCGAGGTCACTCGCTCGAGAGCGCCAGGGTTGGAGGTGATGCCTTGTACATAGGTGCTGGCGATCAGAGCGCCCGTCGAACTGCTTTTTTCCTGCTGAAGCACAGGCTGCTGCGCAGCTTGGATCTCTGCCTTCACACCAGCGCCGTCTTGCTCAAGCCCAGGCTGCTGCACAGCTTGGACCTCAGCTTTGACATCAACGCCATCCTGAAGCTGAGGCTGCTGCGACGCTTGGGCCTCAACTTTGACACCAGCGCCGTCTTGCTCAAGCCCAGGCTGCTGCACAGCTTGGACCTCAGGCTTGACATCGCCAACATCGTCCTGAAGCACAGGCTGCTGCGCCGTTTGGACCTCAGCCTTGACATCAACACCGTCCTCAACCGCAGGCTGCTGCGACGCTTGGACCTCAGCCTTGACATCGTCAACACCGTGCTGAAGCACAGGCTGTTGCGCCGCCTGGACCTCAGCTTTGACATCAACACCGTCCTGAAGCTCAGACTGCTGCGACGCTTGGGCCTTACCCTTGACACCAGCGCCCTCCTGCTGAAGCTCCGGCTGCTGTTGCCGGGGAAGAACCAGCGTCGAAAGCTCTTCGACAAGCACGGCCACATTTCCCGCGTGTTCGAGACTGCAAGCCTTGACCACCCGAATCACTTCGCCCCCGATCGCTTGCCACCCAACCGCCCGCACTAGCGCCGCCACTCCCCGCGACACCCTCTCCGATACCAGGCCTGGAGTCCCGACCGCGCCCGATGTACCGCCCGCTAGGAGCCGCAGCAAGCGGCGAGAAGAGTCGAGGGCTGCCGCGCCGGCTCTCGAGCACAGGGCGAGCACATCTGCCGTGTCCCGCGCGTCGGTCATGAAAACATGGCCGGAGGGCGGCGCCGACGAATAGTAGGAGCCTTGACGGTGCGGCTTCTCTCGTTTAGTCTCGGCGAGGGAAACTATCATGGCGAGATCCGCCAAGGGCAGTTCGCCGGCGTCGCCGTACTCGGAAAAGCGCTTGCGGGCGACCCTGAGAGCGGAGCTAGGCCCGTTCTCCAGCTCCACGCGCATCTTTGCTGAGCTGGGCCAGAAGATGAGGGCCGCCCGGTGGTACCAGAAGTCTAGAGTTGGGCTACAGTTGCCTGTATAACGCTCGTACTCTCGCTCGGTCGGCTCGGTATCAGGGGGGAACAGGAGATCAAGGCCTTTCGCGTCGGCGGAGTCGCACCCGTCATCATCGTCATCATCGCTCTCCTCGGCGGATTCGTCCGGGTCTTCAAGCGGGAGATAGCCAAGAACCTCGTGGTCATTGATGTCCACGCCAGGGCCCGGACTCTGCAAATCGCCGTCACCATCCACCCAGTCCTCCGCCGTTATGGTCGTTTCGTGTACCTCCTCCATTTCCTTATCTTCAGGGTCTGACTCGTCGTCGGACTCGTCTTCGCCGCAGCACCCGCAACCTTCTCCGTCTTCGTCGTCGTCCTCCTCGCAACCGAAGCCCCAGCACCTAGATCGTTTGTGACGTTTTTCACGCTTGTAGTACCTGCTTCGTTCATAGGGGTCCTCCTGCGCGGTGCCGCTCTCGTGCTTCACAATCGTTACCAGGTACAGGTCCAGATCCCTGCACGCGCGCAGAGAGTCCGCCATCGCACGGTCCCGACCCTTCAGACCGCCGAACGAAAGACTGGCCTTCGTGTACTCGTGCGCGAGCGGAACGATGAACTTGGCGGCGTCGCAGCTGCTGCCGGGACGGCCCCACGCAGCTACTGCGTCCGAGAGACGGAGCTGCGCAGCCGATCCGCTCTGGCCGACCGCGGCGACGGGCTGGGGACCCGGCGTGGTCCGCACGAGGTTGTACAGGAGGCACAATCTCACGCCGCTCGTGATCGTCTGCAGCTCGTGCTCACAGTCGCCGTAGAACGCCGCGCAACGCACCGGAAGAGAAGAGGGCGGAGTGCTGGCCATGCCCCGGCCAACCTCGTCCGCTGCTTCGGTCGGTGCGCCGGCTGCCGTTCCGGCCACAGCTGCCGCCGCTCCACCCCCAAGCCTCTGGGCGTAGCTCCCGTCCGGGTCTTCCCAGGCGAAGACACGCTGCTGACGGCGGTGGCGCACGATCAAAGCACCACCATTGTGCCCGGCGGCGGTCGGTAGCTGCACCACGAGTGTTCCGAACATCCCGGCCTCCTTTTCGGTGTCCTTGTGTGGCCGGAAGTGTCCTCCACTCTCGTACCTGTTCGGAAGTACAGACAATTTTCAAATGGAGGGGAATTTTTCAGGAGGGGGTGTGTGTGCTAGAAGGCTCACAAAATGCGACAGAATGTGAGAATATCTCCACACCCGACGAAAAACACGCCATCCGAAACACGCGGTGGGCGTTAAATGGTGACCTTGGACAACACCAGTCCTTCCACCATGGGAATCGGCAGGAGTTGTGCTGCTGCGATATCGCACTTCCACACATCTCTTGAGTATTCGGGTGCAGTGCCACTTCGACCGGAGACTATACTATGTGCAACTTAGCCGCAGCAAATCTAGGGAGAACGGTTGCTGTCCGCGGTATACCGAATAAATGAGTGATGTTTGTCACTCGGATCACTCTGTCCCTTCGAGTACAGTTCAATTACAATGGTCACTTTTCATCGTCTTGTAGATCGTTTCAGGATGGGGCCAACCTTCCTGCATGCGCGTGTTCAATGGTGGGTACTAAATACTCATCCTTTACAAGAGCATAACATTTTTACTTCTACCCAAAGAAATCGAACAGATCAAACGGCTGCTACGATAAAGAAAGGGTAACAACAGCGAAAACGTACCCGCAGCTACCGGTTCTTTCCGCTGCTCTGTTGCCCCTGGTGTAAAGTAGTACAGCTGGAAAGCTACAAATGTATTTCGTTCCTGAGGCGACGCGTCATCTATATTATTTATGCCCCCGGCTACATCAGCTGAAGGAGAGAGCAAGTGCAAGTTCGCACAAAAAATGTCAGCGACGAAACTGGAAATTGTTAGTTGTCCGTTGCGTGCTTCCATGGCCTAGATTCGCATGATATCTTGGGAGAAAGGTTGTTGTATCGTTTGGGAGGCCCCCATTTCATCGCGCTGCTGAGTACCGACGTGGTGTGTGAGTGGCGTCGCATGCTTTCACAGCGGCAGCAGGCAACCAGAAACGACACTAGAGGTGGTCCTTGAACTTGCAACGAACTGCCGATTCTTGTGGGTGGATAGGCGCATCGCCGCTATTCTCCACGTGTGTCTCTTCGACGAACAAAGGGTTTGAATGCGAACCAAGCGGGTTTACTGGGCGATTGCTGGGCCTAAAACATGTAGAGGTTTGATCGATCGCAGATTTACAGCCCAAAAAATGTTTGAAAAGGCGTTTTACCCGTTGGTTGTTGCGTCCTCCCCATGTAAAGTCGGGTTTGTGCAATCCGCCACTCGTGCGTTCAAGTCGTTCTGTTTCCTCCAAGAGCGATTCCATTTTTTATAGCCTACACTCTATTTTTCGTGAGGAGCAGAGAGTAGTCTTAACGCCGTGACGTGTACAACAACAGTCATCCTGAGACTGGGTGGGCCCACGGGCCTACTTCACCATAATAGTACCGCTCGAGTGTGCTCGATGCCGTGTGTGTCTAGCTTGTAAAGTATGTGCCTTACATACGCCGTTGCCTCATGAATCATCTTCAAGTAGCGAAACGGGAGAGCTGATCCGGTGTGGCGTTACCGTACGGATGCGAAACGCACAACAACGAGTGCCCCGAGAGTGGTTCTGGGGCACTCACTCACCGGAGGTACCTCGCGGTTTTATCGCGAGATATGTGTTGTAGAACGTACAAGGGGTGCTTCGGCCGCCCCCCTCGGGGACCCGTACCCGTGGGTAAAACATGCAAGTGTCACGGTTAATTTAGTTACGGTTTCAAGGAGTTGCACCTTTGGGAGGTTTGCATTATTCCCATAGAGTGCTGTATAGTTCTGTACATTCCGCAGAGCTCCTTGTAGAGCGTGTCGCCCGCGCACACGCTGCTCACTTCCTTTGTTGGCACTTGTGCTTAGCAATAATCAAAGCGAATACCGTATCCACGACCGGAGACCTTCTCCACGTTCCACAAGCCTCCTTCTAGGCTTTCTCTACCGCTGTTCAAGCGCTCCTTCGAACTCGGTGCAAGAGCGAGAGACTGCTACCAACAGGTCGGTAGCTGTTTAGTCACCATTTAGTCATGCGTGGGATCCTCTCAGAAACCAGACATGTGCATATGTGACCCCTGCGAGCCTTGAACCAGAAGCTCGAGTCTTTTCCTACAAGACTTTCTCAAGTCACAGGATCCCTCTCAGATTACAGTCTCTCCACTTGCTACACAAGTGTCGAAGTTACTGACAACATCGATGTTTTAAGTACATCGAGGACAGATGCGTGTAATTCATAAATACATGCCACAGCAAAGAAACACATAGATGCGGGTTCGCAGTCAGAGATTGAAAAGGTGCGTCACGGCTTGCTTGGTCGTGGTGCGGTGAGTTGCTGTTGAATTGCAATTGTTGAATTGCGGCGCTGAATCCCGGGGCAGAAATCCACACGAGATGGCGACTCCACGTGTGTGTTGTGCCAGAAGTGCCGGTTATTGCGTAGCTTTGGTTGCTGTTGGACACGTACAGCAGCAGCAACGCCAGACAGACGTTCGGAGAGAGCCTCGGAATCCGGCAAGCTGCCTATTCTCTCCTTTTGTTAAAGAGAGAGATGTGTCCCCGCTTTGCCCGCAGGTGGTGATCCTACAGCAGCAGTGTTTACAGCAGCAGTCCACATTCCCATGCATGGCTTACAGTGCGTGTGTACCTTCGCGTTAAGTGTATACAACGGGTGTGAGTATGAATGCATGCAGGGGGGTTGGCTAGACGCATACAGTCAAGTTCAAATCCGTTCCCAAAAAGATCGGGTCGACAGAAAGAAAGAACGAAAGTGTCCGTGCGGGTAGCTCGTACGTTTCTTGGTAGCTCTTGGCACAGTGCACCGCAGGACGCAATACGTACGGGGCCCGCTGCGTATTCTGGCCTCCGGGAGCGGAAAGACTGAAAGGTTTTGGTTTAAACGGCGACCCTCTACGAACCTCGGATGTACCACAGCTCAGCGTTTCAGGCGTCACTCAGAGCTACACACCGAAGCCCGGATCTTTAGACTCGAACCGGCGCGAGACAAACCCAAACAGATACAAGGCTCTCCTTCGGGAGTTAGGTGGCTTGCCTCCCGGGGGCGACGAAAGAGGACATTACCAATGTCATCACGGTTGCATCGTTGCATCTCAGCGTACGGTAGTGCCGGTTTTCCGTACAACCTGCAGAATTTGCGTTTTGTGCGGGGTATTGTTTCGTTTTCTCACCGTGACTTTTCGCGTGTGCATGAGTGCGTGCTGTTAGGTTGGCGGCATTTTGCCGCAGATCCTACTGCTGTGACCCGCTGCGTTTAGTCGCCCGTCTCATGGCATCTGTACCGTGATGCTCATGGTGTGTGGGAACATGTGTGCGTTGCGCAGGAATCAAAGTCTTCGTGTTTAGTCTATGCAAAGAAGTTTGATTTTTTTTATTTGGGAATACATCCCCAGGAAGTAGACCCAGACTTTTTTTGGCTTTTTTACGGTACAGGGAAAAATTCTTTTTTTTACAGGTGTATAAAATTTTTCCAAAAACGGGGTTCAGTTTTTCTTCATTTTTTTGTTCCATTTTGGTATTTTTTTTGGTAGTTGGGGGGGGGGGGGGGGGCAGGCAAGGCGTGCCCGGAGACGAACTTACTGACGTGCGTGAAGGACGATTTCAAGGCAGTCAGGGCAATACACGGATCCACGGACGACGAGCCACAAGTTTTCGAAGTCCCGAGATTACTTTGGACGCGAGCAGAGAAGGTGGAGTGGGGTGTGCCATGGCATGCGGGGGCATTGCATGGAGCTGAGAGGTCCATAACCGCCTGGCACAGGATGAAGAGGAGGATAGCCGACGACGAGAGCTGAAACGAGAGGAGACCAGCAACAGGACAGATATGGCAACAACCAAGGGAGCGAGAGGGGGTAGCAGACGGACGAGACGACAAGGGAAGAAAGCAAGAAAGAAGAGGTAGACCGAGTGAAGCGATTTAGGCCAAATTGAACTCCTTCGCTATTCGCCCCACCCGCCCCCCCTGTAAGTTTGCTCTGTTTTTTTTGCGGTAACCATGATGGTGGTCTAGTAGATCACATGTGCTGGGTCGAGAACCTTCACTCCGCGCAAAGGGGATGGTCGCATCACGTTGTATAAAATTGGTCAAGCACCCTCGAGGCAGTTGCACAGTGTCTAAAACTGTCTCTGGAAGTGGAAGCACCAGATAATAAATCAAGTCATCCGCAGCTGTCATCCTTATGCAAGGAGGTAAGCACAAGATGTCTCGAACACCCTTAGCAGGATGCAGCGCACCCTCCATGCGACTCGCCAAATCCTCACGACGCTTCGCGCTTGGTGATGTGAGAGCCTTGTCCGGTGAGAACCCGGCGTGCTCTGTCCCGGCATTGTAGGGATGCGAGGTCAATGGTCCAACGACTACGGCAACACGGCTATCTATGCGTACACACATACCTCGTGATTGCACCATTCATTGCATCGACCCCCACGAGTGATGACATGCCTTTGCTGTTGCTGGTGGCCCTGATCTTGTTTGTTCGCTAGTGATTTGGCATTGCAATTGTCTTTTATTTTACTCATGTATACTTTCCTCCTTTTCTTTCTTTTGTATTTCTTCTCTTTTGTCCGTTTCGTTTCTTCCTCGGATGGTATTTTCTCTTCTCCATGCAGTACCAAGATTGAACAGGGGGGTGTACCTCTCTCTCTCTGGCTTATGATGTTGACTTCCAGCTTCTTTTCTGCCCCACATAGCGTGGAGACGGGCGCGGAGGGCGCCAGCCTATCTCTCGTTGATTTCAATTGACTTGCGGAACGGGTCCATTTTATTTGAGTAAACGTTTTTTTGGCAAGTTATCCTGTGACCACGGGAATCGACTGGTCAAGTGTTTGATCAGTAGATATGTAGATGAAGGTGGGCAGAGATGTCGGAACGGTTTATAACGTGAAGACAACAACCACAACAATAACAGATTACCTTTGATGTTTGTTGGATGCATGGACAGTTTCGTGGGTGTCTTTGTGGGTGGACAAGTCGGGGTCACGTGGATGGGATTATTAATATATATAATTTTCTTAATAGACAGTTTCGGAACTAAAAAAAACGCTGAAATGAGGAAATATATTTTGAGTTAAGCCATCGTTCTGAGGAATGTTCCTGACAGTCTCGCCAGAACCCAAGATAAGGGAAAAATAAACAGATTTAACACCGGAGGGAGGCTCGTTCTGTGGAAATTTTGTCAACTTTTCGATTTAGCAGCTTTATTTGAAATAACACATCAGGCACCACACACAAAACATCATCAGGCACCACCCACACGCACACACACAGTCTGCAAGAGCATGTCCAGCGGCCGCCCAAACGAAACCCAGCGCCCAGCGCAAAGGCCCTGGAGTTGGCGCGCCACCAACACAGAAAGGGGGAGGCTGCACGGTCAGACAACCAAGTTGGGGTTGGTTGTTGCGCGGCTTTAGGTCAGCAACACGCGCCCGTCACACACAGGTTGAAGCAAGGGGGAGAAAGAGCGCCGGAACGAACCGCGGCAACCAACGACGTAGAGGAGGTGGCAGCACCGCCAGCAAAGGGCAGAGAGGAGGAAGAGCACGCAGTTGCCTTCTGGTGACGGGCCGCAAGAGTATTCTCTGCTTCTACTTGAGAGAGCGTGTTTGACTTCGATGTGCCCCCGCCCCCAAAAAAACACCCTCTCCCCAACGCTTGAAATGCGATACACAGCACTTCGTACAGGGCTGCCGGGTAGTATGTGTACTTCCTGTCGCTGTTCTGGTGCGAGTTCGTGTGCTGGGGTTGAGGGGGCAACACAGACACGCACACGCATGCATGCACGCACACTCAACAGCAGTGGGAGCGCGGTGATCAGGGTGCAGCTGTCACGCAACGCACCACAAAAAACAGCAGTACCTGCGAACAGGGGAAGTTCGTTGGGTGACTGTCGTCCCACAGCCAATCACATGAAGCCGCCTTAAATCGGAAAATATTCGCCTGCAGGAAGGTTCCAGGAAACTTTCTTATCTCAAAATCTGTTTCCTTTTCTCAGCAAATTTGGATCCCCAGTCCGAAACTGTGTAATATGACACAA